GTAAATAATTTTATTGTAAATCTAATTGTAATATTAGATTAGATGACTAGAAGCTCCTTTAAGTAGGGGACAAGATGAGTAAGCTCTTGCAAAGCTATTCACTTCACTGCAATTGGTGTATTCATTTGTATTTAAAAAACCAAAGGGTACCATTGGTTTCAACCCGATAGGATCTGTTTCAGGATACCCAGGCACGGAGGCAGAAAAGCTTAGTGCTGCATTGTGCAGCATCATTTCCAGAATCCTGGATATTGATTTTCCAAGCTTCTCCCAAAGAAATTTCTTGCATTATTAGGCTTGAACTTCAGTTAAGCACTTTGCTGTGTATTAATTGTACACAGAACTGGATTTTTCTCTTTGAACACAAGAGGAACTCAAACCTAGGCTGCACATGGGCTCATTAAAGTGTTTATGTGATAAAAAGGAATCATAGCCAAAAATTCTCTTCTGCAATTAACAATGTGATATACTGCACTGCAAACAGCCTTAAGGGGCCAGACAGCACATAGTATTTAATGTAACATTTGTAGACATGTACCTACATTACAATTCTCATGTACAAACATGCTGTTTGATTCAAAAATTTAGTTTACAAGTGTTCACACGAAGAAGGCATTTCCAAGTATTTATTGTCAAATACTGTCCATTTATCATTAAGATGATGATTTCAAATAAAGGTAGAAAAAGACATTGCAGTATTTGATCAGTGTATCATCACATTTCCACCAGAGGCTTTGTAAATTTAGTATGTAGACATATGAAATGAAGAGTTTGAAAAGTATGATTGAGATGTGATACCCAGTGAGATTGGGTAACATATTAAAAAGATCACACATTCAGTTATTGATGGAATCAAAGATATGAAGGATTCTTATGCTTCTCTGAAAATACGGACAGAGGATCTGAAGAAACTGAGCACTGCTTTCCCATACTTCAGAGTTGTCCCATCTGAGATTGCAGGGCTGTATTCTGCCATGAAGTTCTCAAATAGTCTTCAAATTACCATTACTCACTGAACTGTAATTTTTCATGTGACAGAAGTTGAAAAAAACATTTTCATTATCATCATCATCAACATCATCCTATTGTTATGTCTGCAGGTGCAGGGTCCACTTTTTGGATCAACGAATGCCATCTTGCATGTTCAAACAGCATCTGGGTTATGCCTGCATTTTGACAGATATGGCTATAGATCCATTGGTTGCGATAAAAAGACTGACCGACTGGCTTGTTGCCTGGGCCTGACATTGGTTTGGTCTGTGTTCAGCTCAACACCACCCTGACGGTTGGGGAGTATCCAGTAGCAACCATTAGAAAGAGCAGCCCTCACTGCTAATATTTTCACTTACATTTATTTCATTTATTTTATTTGTCAGTCGCTTACAAGGTAATAGGTATCAATATAAACATGAATAAGAATACAGGAAATAGGTACAAATAAATGGGGACAATAGGACAGACAGTAGGCACAATTGTGCACTTATACATGCTCCTTACAGACCTCTTAGGAATGGGGTGAGGTCAATAGTGGATAGTTTGAGGTTGAAGGAGTAGGGGTTAGAGGATGTAACAACAGAGTCAGGTAGTGCTTTCCAGGCATTGACCAGTCTGTTGCTGAAGTTGTACTTTCTGCAACCAAGTTTGGAGCGGTTTACATTGAGTTTGAATCTGTTGTGTGCTCTTGTATTGTTGTGGTTGAAGCTGAAGTAGTCATTGACTGGTAGGGCATTGTAGCAGATAATTTTGTGTGCTTAAATCTAACCATAGGCAGCATAGTTCAAGGTTGTCCAAGCCCCAAATCTCAAGCCTAGTGATATAGGGTATTCTCTTGCGAGCAGAGGAGTGTGGTACTCTTCTTGTGAAATACTTCTGGACTCATTCAATTGTATTAATGTCCAATATACAGTACAGATTCCAGACTGATGAGCCGTATTTGAGTATTGGTCTAGCAAAAGTTTTGTATGCACTAGTTAGCAATTCAATAAATTCAATATTTATGTATGTTCATGTAAATACAGTATCTGTTATGTGCTCTTGTATTGTTGCGGCTGAAGCTGAAGTAGTCATTGACTGGTAGGACATTGTAGCAGATAATTTTGTGTACTATGCTTAGGTCCAACTGTAGGTGGTGTAGTTCAAGGTTGTCCAAGCCCAAAATTTCAAGCCTGGTGATATAGGGTATTCTGTTACAAGCAGAGGATGTATGTTCATGTACATACAGTACATGAAAAGAAATTAACCACAATCCCAGCCATATTCATTGTCTTTGTCTCCCTACAGAATAGATCAACAATAGATTGTTGAGTTGCACCTAAATTTAATGCCATTATTCTGTGGATAGACAATAATGTATAGTGGTTAACAGATTGTAAAATTTCAAGGCCACCGAAATTATGGAGCTCAATAGGATGATTTTTTATTAGACATTCTCTCTCAGCCAAACTCACTTTGTACCTTGTTTGGATACGAGGAGACCCCCATGTAAAATGGACTTGATTTCTCAGAGAAAAAAAAGATGTAAATGCAATGAATAAATAATCCCATGTCTTTAAAATGTCATTGCTAATGTTACACTGCACCAATCAGATAGAATCAGAAACCTATACCTGAAGTATATTTAAAATAATTAGACATACCTAAACTATGCATTTTTTTTATTATATTAATGTGGGGGAAGGTTCACAACTTAGAGTTATCTTTGTATCTTGCCTGTCACAAAACACGGAAAGATACTTTGCCATGTTTGGATTTCTGTGTGCTTTATTAGCAATCAAAGCTTTGCCTTAAGAAAAGGAGGGGAGCACAATGAGGAGCTAAAGTATGTTAATTGTCTAATTATGTAAAAACTGGTTTAAGCAGGAATTATGTATAGCATAACACTTAATATAAAAACCGTCCATTGAAATGTGAGAGGTATAGAAGAAGGCATGGCAATGAGTAATTAGTATGTAGTGTTCCATCGTATAGGGATTTTTAAATTAATTTCCTATTGCAGATATTCAGTTAGGTGTGGGTTTTGACAGGGTTTTTTTTTACTTCTAGCCTTCAGTTCAAAACTGTTTTTCCTCTTGGTAGGATTTGTGTGCTTTAAATTGTGGTGTAATAGAACAGCTATTCAGCCAGCCAAGTTTTTCTAACATCTACAACTAGAGAAATTGCTTCCTGTTATGTTATTATGGAAAGAACATAACATGACTGCAAGCTTCTCCCTAAGAAAGGTGAGCAATGCATCCTTAGAACTACAGTTAACAATACTATAAATAAGTGCTTTTCTGCTTGGACATCCTCCTGGGTGACAGAAGTTTTAAATTGTTAATTAGTGCCATTTTAGCTTAGCCTAACAATTCTGACTCCCTTGTTTAGTCTCAGAAGCTGTATGAAGTGGTTGTTCCAGTAACTGACCAGGCAGCCTATACATTGAATAAATTATAATTATTTGTTCAGTTTATATGCTACGTTTTCCCTAGGTGCTCAAAGCAGGGGTACAGAACAACCACTACTCCAGTTTTCAAAGCACCCTATTGAGATGAAAGTCATTCCAGATCATGATCACCCTGTTATTAGACTTCCCTCTCAAGTGCTTCCCTATCCAGGCTCTCAAAGAATATTAAAATATCTAAACTTGATCTGAGGATGCTATGGCAACCATATATGATTTATTTTATATTTCAGGTACCTCCTACCGTGTTTTAGATTAGCGACCCCCAAACTTTTGGGCACCAGTTCTGTGGAGAGAGGTTTTTCTGTGGACCAAAGGGGGTACGGTTTCATTTGCTACCTGTATTCTGCAGATAGGGTTTTGTTTTCAACAGCCTGGTTGCTGGCATGCCATGGACCGCTGTCGGTCCACGGATCGGGGTTGGGAGACATTTTAGATAATCTTTATTTGGACTAGGACTTAAAGCTAGTACCCAGTTTTCCCCCACACGGAGCCCCCAGAATATCAGCAATTATTGGGCATGTTTCAGTGTTGATAGGTTTGGAAAGAGTTAATTCTAAATCATGTCTACAGCTATGTGGGATTATAGAAGTATTCACCATTTTCTGTAGATGGAGAATGGGACCTTGCTGAATTTTTAAGACTTTAGTACTTGAAAGTACTGTACAGCTGAAAAATTAATAGAACAGGCTTGTAGACCCTTCCAGCCTTTAATTCTTTACAGAAATATATTTTAATTTCTATCATATTAAGTAGATCCTAATAGTTTACTTTTGCCCATTCAAGTGCCTTTTGGATAAAAGTCCCCCCCCCCCCCCCCCCCCCCCCGGATTACACCATATTTTCAAAGAGCTTTTTATTAGTTATTTTCTTTCCCAGCTTATCCTATATTTCTACATTTCCAAGGTTCTGTTTTGCGATCTTTTTTTTTTAAAGCACAAAGCAGTTGGCAAGGGTTATACTTGTCTGTGCTAGCATGGAGGGATGTGGCTTTGGCAGAAGAAGCACACATTGCCTGAGGTTCCTTAAGTTTGTTTTAAAATTTTCAATGGAGAAAATTTGGCTGTGGAAGCACAGTTCCAAGAGGTTGGTTTTGTATAACCAAGTCCAATCAGGGATAAAAATAGTCAAGACAACACAAGCATGCGATCAAAAATTCACCCCTTTTTATTACCTATGAGCAATGCATATAAATAGGGGCAGAATTTTCAAAGTTGAGGCTGCTATCTTCCTTTTTTTGGCTCGCCTCCAAAGACACTCCTACATCCAATTACAGGTTATCATAAATGTAATTATAACACAGCTGTGCTTTTTAAAAATCTAACTCAAAAGAACATTATTAATTGGGAGGAGACAGTGGTTAAGATTGCTTTTGTATAAAATGAAGCCATTGAGATACCATAGATATAGCATGCTACACATAAAATAGAGTATGCTGTTTGATCTAAGCTATATAGACATAAAACAGGACCCTGGAATATTTGATAACTGCACAGAGAAAGTCCCATGTTGAAAATTACAATGTGAGCCAGGGCCCCACAGAATCTTTTTGTTGCTCCAGTGTGATCCAAAGTGGGTAAGGCCATAATTGATGACCATTTGTTTGATATTTTACAAGATTCTTTGGGTAATTGAATTAATAACACAACCACTTTAAGATTTGTACCCATGATTTCACTCTACTCAGATGCTCCAACTCTATCCAGTTTGGGATTATGCAAAATCTGATACATCAATTTAGGGGACCAAAGTTGTTTTGTAGATTTATTTATATTTATTCATCACATTTCTACAATGCCCATCTCACCTAAGTGACTCATGTTTTCACAAGGAAACAGCTTAAGACCATGTCCCACTGTTAGCTATTAGCATATGCTAGCTTGAAAGGAGTCCATATGATTTTTTATTATTACTTTTCACAACTGAAAATTAAGCTGCTACAGGCCATTGCATTCTGAGTTACTGGAAAATACATGAGCCTATTAAGATGAACATAAGATACAGGAATATTTCTTATGTTCATCTTAATAGGCTCATGAATTAACTGTCTATGTTTATATAGAAACTTAAAGGCATGCAAAATTAGGAAAATCTTTTAACTGAAGTAGAACTTTGCAAATTTGACTACAAAAATTTGGTAAACTATTATGTGAAAGCAAAATGTTAAAATGTTTTCCTGTGTCACTTTGCTGCCATCTAATGAGCATTCATTTCTGCAGCCCAGGCACTAGTTGAGGGCCACCTTATCTTTAAAATTATTTGTTGGACATGAGCGTTGGGTACAGTCTAAAACCAGTGAAATCATTTTTGCTTTTCATTCTGCCATCTGCTCTTCTCTTGGTCTTCTTCCTTCCAATAGCCAGGAATGCAGGGGAAAAGAAAAATGATTCTCTCAGGGTCTAAGTTAATAAGGGCTTCTGAGCTAAGTACACACTTACGCTGCCTAATGCTGGTATGAAACTTAAATTGAAAATGATTCTATCAGACATTATTGTATTTTTTTAAATATCTAATTTACACAGCACATTTAAATTATTGAAAATTAATATAAGTAGCTCATCTGTAATAACTCCAAACTGTACCGTCAGTAGAAATTATATTCCTACATACTGCAAGAGGAACAAGAAGCTATTTATGATGCAGAAATAAGATTTTGCCTTCTTGTTCCTTATTACATACTATCAGCCCATCCACAGCTTAGAAAATAGAAATGAAGGCACAACTATAAAATCCCATGTATACTTTTGGCTGGCTCTGATTTTAAATTGCCAAGAAACCCAAGAAATTCAGACAAGGCACATTTTATTTCTTCACACTCGTTGCAAGGAAAGCCCTGGCTGTGTTCCCATCTAAATATATGAAATGGACTTGTCTGGTTTTCCCAAGCTATTGCCCTCTACATGAATGGGAACTGCAATTCCAAAAGATCTCCAGTCATATTGATTAGGATTTGTAGCCCTAACATATCTGAAAGGGACCAAACAGATAAGAACTGGCTCATATTGTGTTGAAATTTGATTCTTATAAGAGTCTTGCTGAGATCTGGCTTGTAGTTAGCCTTTAATAGTAAATCACTTAGGCAGCTGAATTCAATTGAATTAAAATTCAATGTAATATATTTACTTAACTACAAATTCCCATTATTTTCCAGGGCAGATAAACAGTCTTCTTTTGTGAATCCTTAATTCAATGCCAGCCCAATCTCTTCAATTTCTTTCACAGCTTCTTCAACATAATCTGCTGCTAAATTCATTCGACAGTTCCTGAGAGCTTTTATTATATCCTCCACCTTTGCTTCCTTTCCTTTTGATTTTTGCCATTCTACAAGTGATTGCATCAATTGTTCTTCCAAATTGTAGGGATTAGCAACCATAATCCTTTCTAACTTGGCATCTGAAATTCCAAGTGTTCGAGCAAGCGTTTTCCAGTTTCTTCCAACATGTTCACATATGACTTCAAATGCTCTCTTCAGTTTATCTAGAAAGAAAAGCATACTATAAAATAGATGAATTGCAGTGGGACACTTATGCATCATTTATGTATGTATCAGTTTTATCCCTTCCTTGTCCTTCTCCAAAATTCTTGTTGCTTAGGGGTTCAATATTTATTCAGATTGGAATAAGGTCCATACTACCCATTACCATCCAAATGAAGTATGATATACAAATTCCGCTTAATTTTTTGACAGTCTCAGTGTCATATTCTAAGACAGCAGGTGTGTTCTGGGGAATTGTTAGGAATCTTTAACACCTTTTCAGGGGGCCTGTGAAGTCAAATACATACGTATTTTTAAAGTTCTCAGTTTCAGTTTCTAATATGGTAAATATCGATAGCTATAACCCACATTGCTTGCCCACCTAGCAGTTTAAAAGAATGCAAATGCAAGTAGATAAATAGGTACCACTTTGGTGGGGAGTTAACAGCATTCTGTGCACCTTTGACTATAGTCATGCTGGCAACATCCCCACATAAGTGTCCTCAGACAACACTGGCTCCCTCAGGTGGGGCGTGGATATCAGAAACATTATGGGGCTATTCATGTCATCTTCTACAAGCTTTCTGGGAATCTCAGAAATTTTGTTCTTAATCAACACTCTTCAATCATCTTTCCTGATTTGGCAACCTCCTGGGAGATTAGTCCAAATTAAACAAGTGAGATTCATTATAGAACTTCCACAGGTTAATGAATTTAAATTTATTACATGTAGTCCTTGATTTATTTCTAGTCATAATTAATGTCAGTCTTAAGTTGGGTCACCCATGTGATTGACTGGTTTTATTTCTGTAGCAATCACTAAGCGAATGCTGCAGTTGTTAAGGAAACCAATGGTTCGCAGTGGGCCTGGTTTTGCCAAAAACTGGAAAGAAACAGTGTTGTTCAACATGATGTGATGGGGACAATGCAAATGACTGTAAATACAGCCTGACTGATGAGCACCTGGTATGATCACATGACTACAGGGGAGGCAGTAACTATTAGAACATCTAATTTGAGTCATAAATGTGCCCAGGGAGGTCCATTATAACTTTGAATGGTCGCAATGTGATCAGTATTAAATCAAGGACTACCTGTATTAGCTGCTCCCTCCAAAAGCTGAAACCTATTATTCCCAAGGTTCCCAGTTACATTTTTAAAAATATAAAACTTCTGAGAAGGACTGAGCAAGATGCAAGGGGTGCAATTATTTAATAATATTCTTTCTCCTACGTCTGTCTTCTCTCCTGCAGTTACCTGAGGGGCGACAACTCTGGGCAAGGGAAGGTGGGATAAGATGCCAAGAACCAACAGTTAATATGGAGCAGCTTGTTTGTGTAGAAAGTTAGCACCCATCCCTCTCTTAGAAGAATGAAATATTTTGATAAATACTAAAATAAGGCAGAATATTATATTTCCCTGGATGAGAAATTGAGAAACATGTTTTTTTAAAGGGAGAAAGCAGCCCCCACTTTTCTTAATAGCTCTCAGCAGATGTCAGCACTTAAGAGCTTATTGAAAGAAGCCTAGTATCTAGGTAGCTCTATTCATAGGCAAAAATTCCCAGCAGCAAGGCCTAAACAAGGGTAGGATTAGCCCTCAGCCACAATAGGAATTGCCCAACCCCTTTCACTGCATCACAGTCCAAACTTCAACCAAACTTAGCTCAGACAAACACCTAGGATTTGTACGTTGCCAATAGAACCAGCTACATAACCCCTATATAGCCCCATGGGAATCTGACAACAGCCAATAGAACGCATGTTCTTGAACAGGAAGCTCAAGTGCAAAGCCCAAGAGAAGGTATAAATATCCCCCACTCTCAACTCCATGTGGTCAACTGCTCCAATAAATGGACCCTCTTTCCAATAAGCCTCCATTTTGTCTCCTGTGACTTTCTCCTGGCTTGGAACTGAACTGATGGATTTTCCTTCCAACACTTGCATAGAAGCAACGTACCTTTTGAAAAAGGCACCTTAGACTTACACATTCCACAGAGTATTCCTGATTCTTATATTTCACAAAAATAACCCCAAAGTGTCCTGTAGTACCTATAGAGCCACCTTAATGGCCTGAGTATTTACCAAAAAGTAAATCCCCTCATAGCCAGTGGGATACCTTGCAAACTAACATATGGAGATCTGCAGCCCTGCCTCTCCAAGGACCAAGGCACCTTTTTTTTTCCAGATCAAAAAAAAGAGCAGCCTACATTTCTGTTTATCATCTGGCTGATGATCTGGATCACCATCCGCTGTTTTGACGTACTGCTCCAGCTGGGTTAGTAGATCTTCTCTGTGCAGACATGTAAGCATGTGTCTCAAAGCCCCCACATCATTGTACGCAATTTTTTCCTGTTCCAGGAGAATCGTGAATAGCTCGTTGCCACTGCTCACATCCTCCAGTTTTTTTTTACCAATATGGCTCCTGCAAAGAAATTTGAGGTCTTTGAGCTCCGCGGGCGACAAGGCCCTTGAAATCGAGTGCAGCAAATCCAAAAAGGGATCCATTGCTGGAAACCTAGAAAGAATACAGGGAAGATTCAGAAGTTTTGTCGAGAGTCAAACTTCAGGCAGTTTGTTTTTTTAAAAAAAATTCTCTCTCTTTAATGCCGATTTCTCCCTTTTTCCGAAATCTGCAACTTCTGACTATCACAACTCCTGATCAAGCAGAATCCTAAAAGTTCTTGGAAAAACTTCTGCGCGACTACTTGTTTTTTTAGGCGAAACCGCGTCTTTCCCTCCAGCCAACTAGCCTGCAGACTTCTCCAATGCATCCGGTTCGAGCTTTAATGACAGAGATCTTTTTTTTTTTTTTAAAGTGCTCCAGCTAACATTTCCCGCGACCCCGACTAGATAGGCTCAATTTAAGAATCTGGATTTTTTTAAAAGAAAAACTTTGAGACTTACTTCCTGCTTCCCCGCGACTTTGCCGCTCTCAGGCGTCACAAGAGGAAAAGGCTGCACCTCCGGAGTGCGCTCCACCCCCGCGTCTTTCTCAAGGGACGGCTCCGGAAGGTGGCGATGCTGCCCAGCTTTTCCCACCAATCCGTTAAATCCGCTCACGGTTTGATTCCTCAGGCGTTGGCGGTGTTGCAGACGTGCAGAAGAGCGGAGATAAACAGGTTGCTTTTAATTGTTAAATAGGAGTATTAACATGTTTTTTAAGAAAGGACTTGATGTCGCCTGAAGGCTGGTCTAAAGTATTTCTCTTTTATTAAAGAGCCCGCATATACTCATCCGTTACTATGACGAATCTTTAAAGAAAGGCATTTCCGAGTCGCCGTTTGTGTTCTTAATTCCCCTCCATTTTTACTGAAAGATTACTTAATCTTTATCCTTTACTGGAGCTCGGCAGAAGTTTCCAGGTGAGTTTGAGGACGAAATGGTGACGGTGGTTTTGGGGGTAGAAAATGGTACCCTTTGAGATCGACAGCTTCTAGTATTCTCAGTCAGAACACAAGGCAAAAGTTGAAGTTCCTTTAAGCTGAGCTCGATTCTTGGGGACTTCCTGGACCCACATCAGTATCAGCAGGTATACAGCATCAGGACCAGAGGTGGTATTCACCAGAGAAGCCTTAGTGGAAATTTTGAGTAGTTCAGAGGACTGGCAAATACCACCTCTGACTGGCCCTGCCTCCATCTATTCTCTGCCTCTCAGAGAATAGAACGGAGCTGGAAAGCAGGTTCATGGGCTGGGGAGGGGGAATGGGATTTTATTTATTTTATTTATTTTGATTTGTCAATCACAAGATAATAGGTATAAGTATATACATAGCTATGAATACATGAAATGGGTACATATAAGAAAAATAAAAGAAACAATAGGACAGGGACAGTAGGCACGTTGGTGCGCTTATGCATGCCCCCTACAGACCTCTTAGGAAAGGTCAATAGTAGACAGTAAAAAAAATATGGAACGCTTCATGAATTTGCGTGTCATCCTTGCGCAGGGGCCATGCTAATCATCTCTGTATCGTTCCAATTTTAGTATATGTGCTGTCGAAGGTTATTTTGCAGTAACCTTCCCCCTGGAGTGGGGTGGGAAGATTTTACAGTATCCTTCCCCTGCCACACCCACCAAGCCATGCCCACAGTAAATTTTTTTGAGTCCCATTACCGATCAGGACAGTAATGGTGCCATTGGATTCTTTGTTTTCTCAGTTTCATAGTCTAGCTAGCACATTGCTTCTCAACCCCAGCAACCTGAAGTTGTGTGGTCTTCATCTCTCAGATTCCTGCAGCCAGCACGCTGGCTGGCAAATCCTGGGAGTTGAAGTCCAAACAAATTCAAGTTGGTGAGGTTGAACAACAATTGGTCTACCTCTTACTGTCTCCCTTGGACTTAAGAACACAAAATAACTGTAGGGCGAGGCAAGAAACTTGAAAAATCATATGGTCTCCAAGTATAAACCAGATTTTTTTTTAGGTTGACCACATTCGGTTTGTTTATACAACAGATATTTCAGTATTTGCCATAGTATAGGACCTCAAGGTACTAACAATTGTTACCATCCAAGATGTATGAGTAATCCTAATCCATTCTACATTAGAAATATAGGTGTTAACACGAGATCCCCCCAGGCATATTTAAAAAACACAAGCAAAAAACAGAACAAACCAATGAGACTTGTAGGCATCTTCTGAGCTGCATGAAGAATTTTCTCTGCAAATTATGCTGTGGCTATTCCTGTTCTTGTAGAAGGAACTAGAATGAATATACTGGTGCAGTCTTTCATGGTGAGTGTCAATCCAGTGGTGATAAGCTTCTGGGCTAATAGGCCATGATGTAATTATCTGATACAATTTGCACAGTATCATTTTGAAGCTACTTTATTTGCTTATTTACTGGATTTCCAGTATTTCAATTAAGTCTCTCTAGGCTAAATTCAACTTGATCTCCATAATATGTACCTACAATTATCTTGTAAATATTTATTATAATTGGATTCTAAAGGATTGTTAGCATATACTAGATGAAGAGAGAACATTTGACCCCAGATCCAAATTCAGCTCAGATCAAAAGGTTATCCTTCCCCCAAATGGGAAACTGGTCATGTTCCAGATGTTGAAGAACTACAGTTTACAGAATTCCTCCCACTGACGATGCTGGGCAGCTCAGCCAGAAACTGTATATTAGGATAAATCATTGAAGAAGCAATGCACCCAAGGCGGCTTCATCTGCCAAGAATATGTAAGATGTACTTGTTGAAGAGCACTTGACTTGCTGGAGAAAGTAAACAGGATGTAATGAAGGGGATCTTAAACTGGTTGGAAAGCAAGTCTGGTTTTCAAGAAAAGTAGCCTGTCCTTTATGAAGTGGTATCTGCTGAAATCCAGGAGAGGGAGCTCATCAAGTTAGAAATGAAAGGAAAATTGTGCCTCTCACTAGAAATAGCTGCAAACACATCGGTGCATGGAAGAAATGGAATTATCATGCCAGGGCACATGACCTCATGTTCTCTACTTGGATGGCAGCCTAGTCAAAATCAGTTGAAAGACATAATAAGGGAGACCAAAGGCCCTAAAGTTACCCATCAGCAAAAAGCATTTGCACAGCAGAAAAAAGGGATAGCAGTTAATTAAAGTGAGAAGTCAAGCGTTTAAATTAATGTTTGTCTACATGATAACATGTATTAATATATTAATTATTACAGTAACTCTTTGTGTGGATGGAATTCCTTCTTTTTCTGGTGTACATTAGTAGCAACTTTGGTTGAGATTAGATGGCACCAGTTTTTTTTTTTAATAAATTGCATGTATTTCCTAATAAGGAAGAGCTTTTCAAGAGGAAAGCTCTCCATCCTGAAAACAGGTTTAAGATGCTTTTTAAAATATAGTGCTGCTGACCAAGCAACTTACAATAAGCAGTTGGATGAATCTATGCTTTCTTGAATGTTTTTCCTTTTGAAAAATGGTCGGGAGAGAGAGAGAGAGAGAGAGGTGCAAGTTTAAGTGATAAAATCTTCAGTAATAAATTGAGATGCGTTGAGATTTGTGTACTGGCTGCTGTTTTATTGCTTCCTTTGTGCAAAACAAAATAAAGGAGGAAGCCACAGTCATCCATATTTTCCCAGGTATGTCAAACAACAGCTGTATATGTAAAGAAATCACAGCTACTACTGAACTAGAAGTCTGGAAAATCCCCTAATTCTGAATACAGGGTGGGTTCTGTTATATGCTGTTATGCTGTCAAATTCTAACTTGGTACATTTTCTCTGTCTTGAGTCATCTCAGGAAGTGCAAACAATTTTGCTTTGTTAACATTCTGTGTACAAGGGAGTGTACCAGAGAGTGTGTTATCTTCAGTTCTACCAAAACATTGTACAGGATATGACTATATGATTACTCATACTTATCCAGGATAATGCATTAAAATTAATGCTATACTTCTGTCCCATTCTCCCTACTTTTTAAAAAAAATTATTGTTCTCTGTTTTAGCAACACCAACTTTCATATTGAAGCTCAAACATAAGCCTCCTGTGTATACAAAGTGCATGCCAAGCATGTATTGCCATTTGCCAAATTCTCAAAATATACATGGTCACCTACTAATATTACCAACAGTGCAGTATGACTAGACACATAACTTTGAAGCATGAAAATGCATTACTAGGTGAATGTTACAACACTAGATAAGCCAAATGAGTAACTTCTATTGCCTAGCTTTAGCCTGTATATCTTGCCTTACCTCATGGCAAGCAACATTTAGCTAATAGTGTAGCTAATTTTCTTTTCATTAACTTTATTTTGAAGAGCATTACATCTGCTTAGCCATAAAAAGAGGTAGTTCAGAGTAGGAAGCCTGATGCTTTTCATCCAGATGCTTTGGGCTTCAAATCTCATCCATTCCAGCTAGCACACATGCTGTTATATGTGTGTTTGGTGCTTGTGATACATTAGTAGGAAAACGCCAGGAACTCTATTGTATATATTCCATGTTCATGTAGCTACTGTTATAACCATCATGGTTACAGCAATAACACTTTAAGCAAGGTGCTGGTGCAGTTAGTTACATTTATCAGCATGTGACTCTCCAGATACATTGGCCTATTTCTGTCTTGCCAGATGGAGGAATTACTTGCCTTCTTTGCCGCAGCACCAACCCTTTAGATCAGGCCTGTCAAACTCCTGGTCCGTAGGCCAGATGCATCACACGCTGGGCATGCCCGGTTTAGCAAAGGGGAAAAAAGTCCTGATACGTCAAGTGACACCACTATGATGCTGTGAGTTTGACACCCCTGCTTTAGAACGGCTGGTGGGCCGTGGGAAAATTTTGGTGGGCCACAGAGAAATGTCCCCCCACAAGCACTCCCCAAAGCAATTAATCCAGGCTGTGCAGAAACACAAGGCTGTACCGCCCACATGGCCCGTGGGAACCTTCCTCATCCACTCACTCCTTACCTGACAAACTTGCCTCTAAATTGGCTATTTTTCCTTTTTCTGACCATCAGCTGTTCTGCTGTGCCGGGAGATTTAGATTAGCTAGGAAGCAGGAAATGGTTGGATTTCTTGCTTTCTAGCTAGTCTTTAGATCTTCGGCTCTGCTTTTAAGTACAGCCGAACCTCCCTTAGGACTGAAGGTTCTATTATTCACTGCAGACTCACAGCAAGCAAATTTTGTGTGACAGACTCAGGTAGCCGATGGCAGATAGATAGATCAATGAATGATTTGGTGAGCAACTCAATCTGCCTGCCTGCTTTGCCTGATTTTGGGTAAAAGTTGCTCTTTTTTAATAAAAAAATTCAATATTTATATAAATATTTATAATTTACATACAAGCCATGCCCAGCTAGTCACATGACCACCAAGCCACACGCACACAAATTAGGCCAAGCCCACAGAACCAGTTAGTGGTTCCTGGGATTTAAAATTATGAGTTTGGTGGTCCCTGAGGTCCAAAAGTTTGGCGACCCCTGTTCCAGATGAAAAGAAGTAACAGTGAATGAAGGCATAAATACTGTATGTGTCCCAGGATAATGATGCAAAATTGAATTTGAGTTGGTCACAGGAGACCAG